AACTTTAAAAAAAGTGAAAGTTTCCCTTTCAAACCTGACGGTCTATGGGGAAAGTGAAGTAGAGTTCACTTGTTTCTGTGACCTCGGCATATGAAGACATAGCGTGGGTAACACTATGCCCAGCCGCCTTTACTTGAACTCGGAGACGGTCCACTGACTTTAACCCTTCAAAATGTAGATTTGTTAAATATTATATTCCTTTAGAGCTTTATTTACCAGTTTTTAACTAGTTCATATTTAGAGGTACATTGCTAAAACAATTATTATATAAGTCTAGGGTGTTAGGGTTAGTACTATTTTAAGTTTATTTTCGATTGAGGATATATAAGCGTTCAGTTAATATCTAAATGCTATCTGGTTTATTTCGGATAATCCATTTTAATGACATTAAACGCTACCGGAGTGAGAAATGCTCTTTCATATTATTGATGTAGCATATATAATCATCATAAAAACAATAACTCAAATTTCAACTTTTTTTTTTTGTTTTCAAGTAGATATGAAAAAAAGCTTCATTGTGACCAACAAAAACCTTGAGTCAACACTACTTAATAGAGAAGCAGGGGGGGTGGGATAACTCAGGTTTCTTTAATTACAAAAATTCAACAGGTTTTGAAAGTGGACTCCATTCTCTCTCACTCTCTCTCTCTCTCTCTCTCTCTCTCTCAAACACAGTTACACACACACGCACACTTACACACACAGTCGCGCACACACACACACTCACCCATACATATATATTTATATACATATAGCCTACATCGCGAGCTTTACCTAGTTCATATGCATGTATAAACCTGAGTTCCGACATACCGATCATCTTTGTTTCATCAACAAAGAAATTAAAAATTCACCAAGCTCTTTGAACCCGTTTAGCAAAATGAAAAAGGCATACATCAACATCTTTTGTTTGATGTGGATGGCGGGCAAAACAAAGCGCTGATATTTCCAATCGATGGATTGATTTTGTTGACATTACTCAAAGAAATGAAAGGTCAGCTTTATTTCTTTGTCTAAACTCGTAGCTTTTTAAAGAAAAAAGTTATTAAATGAATGTTTCGGTAAGTTGGGTTTGAAAATTCAGTGCGTTTATTTTCATATTTTGAGTATGTATTTGTCATATTATTTGACAGTAAAAAACAACCAACGTAACAAAAACAATTCACCATGTCCTTCCATCCGTCTCAATAGTTTTCTAAATATGCTGTGTAGTTGGACATTTTCGTCATGAAATTGTTGAAAGTTCTGTTTTACGCTTGAAGTACGATATGAGAAGATGAAGTAGAGTTCACCTGTTTCTACGCAATGTAGTTATAACTAGGTATAACCGTTGCCTTGACCGCTAATATAAGAGCTTAACCAGCCTCTCACCTAGTGTGATGCCGGGTTTGTGAAGGTTATAATATATCAGTAATGTTCCGTCAGGAGCATACGATATACATTCTTTCTCCTGAAATCGTCTCTTCTTATATATGCCTGGTACATTATGTAGAATCAAACACAAGTCAAGTTCAACACAATAAGAATATTCTTTATTTACACATCAATCTAAAACTATTCTAACTCAAACTAAAGCTCGACTTCTCCCTACACGCTCCCATGACAAACTCTAACACTATCTACATTTTTAACTCTCTACATCTTTCCTCTGGCGCTACCTCTCTCTAACTGCTGACCTAACTGCTGACCCACGCTTCAGTGGTCATCTGACCGTATCACTTGACCGGTCATCTGCAATTCCATTGGTCTACCTGACTACGCTATGCTGTTTCTGCTTTTTTCTGCTTGACCTCTATGACGTATAACTTGCGTCATCACACCTAGGATTTTTAGTTCTGTTTTTTTTTTTTTTAAAAAGAAAGGTTTTTAACTTTTTAAAAGAATACACCCCACAAACAGCTTAGTTTTATTTTTGCTAATTTAATAAATTTCCTTAAAACGAACTATATTTTTTCAAGGGGGCTGATGGCATCTTATCCCAACGGTTACATGTGCCTATCACAGTGTATACTCCCCCTTCCCTTCCCGTATCTATATATATATATATATATAATTCTCTTCTGGGAGACGCTAGAAAACAAGCTGTAAACGCGCTCCCTACTACCCCCACCCCAACATGGTCAGGTGAGCTGTGGTTCACTCTAAATGTTTACAAACAGAGCCGGATTTAGTGAGGACTATTAGGGCGGGCAGATAATTTAGTTTAAACGATTTTAAACGTAGGGGGGGGGGTAACTAAGTAGAGTTTACTTTAACGGAGGGGGGGGGGGGAGAGGAGGGGGGAGGGGGTTATCGTCCTTAACGAGCTACTTATAGTGTTTTAAAGAAATATTTTCAGTGGTAGTGTTGGTAGTGTTGAATTCACAAATTATGAATAACTGAAAAGTAGAAAAAACAACAACTAAATAGCGGCGTATGATATGCCGCGGGTCGGCTCGTAATAAATATTTCTATCAGTTTGAATAAAATTCTCAAACCTCTATTCTTTGCTCCTATCAAAACCCCCGGCGTTAAGTGCCACTTTCTTGTTTACATTCCGCTGTTTAACAACAACAACACCCCCCCTCCCCACCCCTTCACCTACCGCCCCGCCATAAAAAAATTCTACTTCCGGTCTAAAGAAAAGTCCCCACCAACCTCGAGTCCACAGGCAGATCAGCGTGACTCGAACGTGACACTTTCACTGACGTCACCCACCGACGGGCCGACCCAGTTAACGGATTAAGCTTTTGATCCCCAGTTCATTCCGTGTCGATATAGAAAACTCCGCCGGCTTAATTGGATAAGCTGAACTCATTTAAACACTACACAGCACGGCTTAGCGGCCGGCGGCCCTGTTTTCTCATTGACTCAACAAAGTGGCCTGCGGCTCCAATTTCATATTGAATCAACTCCGTTTCGTGACTAAGGACTGGAATTTTCGGTTTCTTAACTTTTAATCTTAACAAATTTTAATCATTGATCGTAGAGCTTAGCGTTGAGGACTGGCACAGTTCCAGATTTGGAAGAAACGCGGGGGTTGAATTATTGAAGACGTGGGTTCGATCTGGCTCGTTGTTAAGAATTCTTCAGCCGCCACTTTTGAAAAGTTGAGTGGGGGTAAAAAAAAATGAAGTTCTTGAAAAGAAAAGTTTTATAGATTTCAGTGGATTCTGCGGTGGAGTTGTCGTGACCTGTGTTTATAATTAACGAGACGGGATTGGAGAGGAAATTGCGAGCGGTCGTTGCTAAAGATTCCTCATCTTTCGGTATTTAGAGTGTTCGTTTCGATTGTTAGCAACGGCGGATATTTATAGTGCTTAATGGAGGCGCGTCGGAAATGGAAAACCCAACTGCGTTGTGTTTGATTCATCTTATTTCGGACTCGAGTTTTTTGGGTGTTTCACTGATGTCAAGAATTTGGTTAAACGTGGCTTTGTTTAATGGATATGGGGCTTACATTTTGTGAACCAGCTGTAAAATTTGTATATTTTTTTTTTTTTGGAATAGTTTAAAAAACAATGTCAAGTTTCATATTTTGTGAATTAATCGTGGTTTTCTAGATATATTTTGTTTCGGAAATAGTTAAATTTAAAACAAAAAGCAAATTTAATGTTTTAATTAATTTTTTGTTGACCTTATGGGAATACGAAAAACAGCTTTTTCTTAATATGTTTTAAGTTTTTTGTGTGTTCAAAGTTCAGATATGACCCATTTGGGAGTTGTACTACTTTATGAACTAGATCTTGGTCGTATGTTTCATTGGAATATATTGGAATATATAACCTGTGTCCTTGTATAAAGTTTGCCAGCATATAAATAATACTGATTGTGACCTAAATTGGAATATACTCCGCGCTCCGACAACTAATAAATCAGAGACTACATGTGACCTGTATTGGAATACCCGTGTTGTAACACAAACAGTGCCAAACTTAAACCTGGGATTAAAAGACCTAAGTCCAGCACCGACTAGAATCTCTCAAGATGGCCGACAACACCTACCCCAGCCCATCAACTTGGTCCGGTCACGTGACCAGGGTCAAACCCAGGTCACTGCCCAAACTCCGCGGCCAGTCCTTCGACCTGAGCGACGACGACGACCTCAGTCTGGCCGAGTCTCGAACCCGCGCCGAGCGGGCGGCGGAGTTTGAGATCGAGCACGACTGGCTGCTGCGGGACGAGGCGGAGAAACAGAGGAGAAAATTCGAGAGGACGAAAAAACTTCTGACCATCACACTGCAAGGTGACGTCACTGGTTAATGAGCGTGGGTGTCATTAATTAACCCGGTGTTAAGTTACTCGCGATTAAAGCAAAATGTTTTACCAGGTGATTGTAACGTGGTGGTTATGACCTACATTAAAAGTGGGTCGAGAGAATATAATGTTTTTTTCTTCTTCTTCTTCTTTCTTAATTTTCGTGTTGGAAGGGATCCCCTCCTACACAGTTAAGTATACGTGTCAACTGGTTATGCGCCATTGAGGCCATTGACTCCGATTCCAGCCCCTTATAATATAATGTTTTGACAAAAGTTTTTTTTGAGCAATTACATACATTGGGAGTATTCCTCGTGTAACTGTTTGATCTACAATACGGATATATTGCCATTATTCTTAGAAATGCCTCTATTCTTAGAAATGTTATATACTGTATCCCAACACTGTAAGTACATGACGCTAAGGTCTAGTACCACATGGTGTAGTAACTCAATGCTTAACCCGCCCCTCCCACTCAATTATGTGCCGCCCCCTCCATGTGTTTCAAAATACTGCAATTAACTATTCATAGTTATTAATGTTAGTGGGCAAAGCGACACTCAATCACAGTCAAATAATCGATTGTTCGCTCATGTGTCCCCCCCCACCTGTCACACGTGTTTTCAATGCGGTCCTCCCCCTAACTACCCTTATAGTGGCACTCCTGTTTGTTACGATATATATATATATATATATATATATATATATATATATATATATATATATATATATATATATATATATATATATGACTGTATAGATGAAGACCCTATGGAAGGTATCGAGAACCGACTGGACGAGATCCAGGCTATGGTCAAACCAAAACCAGAGCTGCTGGCGTTTCTCAAGGAAATGGGCGCCGGACAAAGCGAAAATGTTAGTGCATTTTATTCTTACATAGTAAATGTACTGAGTTCTTCTACCCTAAGGTTTTGTTGGAAATAGTTGGAAGCAGGAAATAACCCCCCCCCCCCCCCCACAACAATTACCCTCCGGACATTTCCCCCTGTCCATTACAACCCTGCCAATAAACACCTTACACATCACCCACAAAAACACACCTCACAACCCCCATATCTCATATGACGTGAGATACTGCCCACAAGGACACTCCCCTGCATACCACATATGACGTCAGATACGTCATATGTTGGACACTCTTGCAGACCCTATATGACGTCAGATATAACTCACAAGAACACGCCCCTACACATCACCCACAAGGACACGCCCCTACACATCACCCACAATGACACGCCCCTACACATCACCACAAGGACACGCCCCTACACATCACCCACAAGGACACGCCCCTACACATCACCCACAATGACACGCCCCTACACATCACCACAAGGACACGCCCCTACACATCACCCACAAGGACACGCCCCTACACATCACCACAAGGACACGCCCCTACACATCACCCACAAGGACACGCCCCTACACATCACCCACAAGGACACGCCCCTACACATCACCACAAGGACACGCCCTACACATCACCCACAAGAACACGCCCCTACACATCACACACAATGACATGCCCCTACACATCACCCACAAGGACACGCCTCTACACATCACCCACAAAAACACGCCCCTACACATCACTCACAAGAACACGCCCCTACACATCACTCACAAGAACACACCCCTACACATCACTCACAAGAACACGCCCCTACACATCACCACAAGGACACACCCCTGCCCACAAGCACACCTCACTTCGCTTCAACCACAAGGACACGCCCCTACCCACAATAACACCTCACTACACATCACCCACAAAGGCACACCCCTACACATCAACCACAAGAAAACACCTATTTCCCCCCCCCCCTCACACACACACTAGCAGACATTGAACTATTTGCTCAGATAAGAACTGTAATCCCACCGACATGGGGGTCCACAACTTTCGACAGCTATCTGCCCAGATCAAACGCCGGCTCATCGATTGATTTGCAAACCACACGAGTTAATGGAACTCCTTGAGATCAATAAACTCTTCACCCGGGACTCCCAATACTTTCTGCTGAACTTTGAATCAACACAGCTCCTGGGGGGGGGGGGTATATGTTTACATCCGGCGTTACAGTGTGGGGGTGGGGGATTGTGTTTTAAGACGCAAACAATGGGTAGAGAGTTGACATAATAGAATACTTGATACGTGAGAAGAATCCAATAAAGACATTGCTAGCATTTTATGTTGGGTAAAGAAATGGCTGCTCTGTTAGAGATGGGTTGCTGTATTGGATTTGTGGAGAGTGGAGGGTGTAAGGGGGGGGGGGGCGTTTGATATTTGATATACAGTAGCAACACACAATGGTATTATGTTTATGGCTCAACAATGAGGAATCGTGATACAAAGCTGTATAATCAAGTAGCATACCTGTCTGATATTTACCTGTATGATATTCCCCTGTGTATTTACAAGTACGATATTTACCTGTATATTTACCTCTTTGATATGCTCCTTATGTTACGTAGCCGTAGAGTGTATACCTGTATGCTATTTACCTCTGTGAAAGTTTCCTGTAAGTATCAATCGGTATGATACTTACCTGTATGCAATTCATCAGTACGATATTTACTTCAATGATATTTAATTTTCTAATGTTTTCCCAGAGGCGTAGCGAGGGGGGGGGGGTGCGGACCGCACCGGGTGACAACATTTAAGGGGGTGACACCAAGGCAAAAAATTGCAAAATATATAGAGAAAAACTTGAGGGGGGTGCAAATCGAAAGTTCGACGGAGGGGGTGCAAATCGAAAGTTTGAGGTCGGGGGGGGGGGGGGGGGGGGGGGGTGCAAATCAAAAATTTGAAAGATTGTCCCCGGGAAGGGTCGCTACGCCTCTGGGGGTGACACCATTAAGTGCCGCACCGGGTAACACCCGACCTCGCTACGCCACTGTATTTTTCTGTATAATATTTGCATTTATGATATTCAGCTTTATCATATTTACCTGTAAGAACTCCACCCGGATGCTATACCTGTACAATTTTCACCTGTATTCTTACGTGTAATATTATCTTCTAGTTTGTTATGTACCAGTAAATCTTGTGTGTGTGCTGTTTATCACTGTAATTACCCCGTTCTAGTCAACAAGGTAGTAAGTAAATTAATTTGTGTCTTACTAAACTCACATCTATGTTCTGCAGATGTTGGCAAAGATGGAGGCCGAGCTTCTGAGAAAAAACAGAAGAAATAGCCGCAGGGTAAGATACGCCTATGTGTGAGTTGTTCTACATTTTAACTCCTGTCGTCTGTCAGTATTATCAATGTAAGATCTGTAGAAACGGTAAGAGAGTTGAGTTCAAACACAGCTGGATTTGATCGAATACTCTATAAACCAAACCGTTTTTTTTTCCAGATAACCCACGCCACAAAAAAAAAATTAATAAAAAAAAAATGTGTGTGTGTGTGTGTGTGGGGGGGGGGGATATTATTAAACTTGAACTTAAAGTTTTTAACTCTAACTCTAACCCTAGCCCAGCACTAGCCCTAACATAAAACCTTAGAGGTGGATAAGTTGTTTGTATGGCGTGCGTTTAAATATTTAAATGTCTTAACATCATAAATAAGTCATGATTGCATGTGCACATTAAATTAGAGATAGCAAAGTGGCGGGGCTTAACTTTTTACCCGTGAATTTTTTTCATGTGTGGCGGGGCTTATCTGGAAAAAAAAAAATATTTTTTTCTTCTGTCCGGTAGCATAAATAAAATAGAAACAAATTAAAAAACACACATCCTCTCCAGCACACACGATTAAGGATTACCCCCCCCCCCCCCACCCCTTATGGGATCCATGTCACTCCCACTGACAACTGATCTCCCCCCCCCCCCCTATATTTTTTTCTTCCCTGTCTGCTGATGTTGTTTGTTGTTTGCACCCGGCGGGTCCAATCCATACAGTTGGCGCTTTTGTTTTTCTTGGCCAATATGGTGTTATCAGGTTTTTTTTTTTTTACCTCGCCGATCTGTAGTTAATTCTCAACTTAGATTATTTCCCTTTTATTATTGTTTGTGGACACTTTTTTTTTCAAATAAAATTATTTTAAATACTTATTTTTTTTTTTACAGTTGCGTTTATGTCATGTATTCATTTACCAAAGACATTTTATTTCAACATTTTTAAAGCAAAGTATTGCATATATTCTACATTTTAATTATTTTTAAAAATTGTTAACGTCTTCCTTTTTTGTACAAGTGTAAGTCTCTCTTAATTAATTTCTTAGTTTTATTTGTGAACTGTGCACGGAAACAAAATAGGACAAAACATAATTGCTCTCGCTAATTAATCGTGAGGTCAATTAAGTTTTAATTTTGTTGATTAAGATGTAAAGGGTTACATTTGTAGTGAGGGAAGTCGTGCATTTATCACATCCCAATAGAAAGTTATAGATCGTAAAAGAAAATTATGTATCTTCTTCATCTTCGCTGTCATCTTCTTCTTCTTCGTTTTCATCTGACTGTGATTAATTTGTCTGGCGTGATGTAGTTAAAGATTTTTTCAAGTTGGGTGTCATTGACTTCTTCACGGGGCATTTCAACAATTTGAAGCTTCAGGGTGTCTTTAGTAAAGAATCGTGTGTTGCTATGTCCGAATGTGTATACCGCAATGTCAGTAAACCGCAATGTCCGCATGTGTATACCGCAATGTCCGCATGTGTATACCGCAATGTCCGCATGTGTATACCGCAATGTCCGCATGTGTATACCGCAATGTCCGCATGTGTATACCGCAATGTCCGTATGTGTATACCGCAATGTCCGCATGTGTATACCGCAATGTCCGCATGTGTATACCGCAATGTCCGTATACCGCAATGTCCGCATGTGTATACCGCAATGTCCGCATGTGTATACCGCAATGTCCGTATACCGCAATGTCCGCATGTGTATACCGCAATGTCCGCATGTGTATACCGCAATGTCCGCATGTGTATACCGCAATGTCCGCATGTGTATACCGCAATGTCCGTATACCGCAATGTCCGCATGTGTATACCGCAATGTCCGCATGTGTATACCGCAATGTCCGCATGTGTATACCGCAATGTCCGTATACCGCAATGTCCGCATGTGTATACCGCAATGTCCGCATGTGTATACCGCAATGTCCGCATGTGTATACCGCAATGTCCGCATGTGTATACCGCAATGTCCGCATGTGTATACCACAATGTCCGTATACCGCAATGTCCGCATGTGTATACCGCAATGTCCGTATACCGCAATGTCCGTATACCGCAATGTCCGTATACCGCAATGTCCGCATGTGTATACCGCAATGTCCGCATGTGTATACCGCAATGTCCGTATACCGCAATGTCCGCATGTGTATACCGCAATGTCCGCATGTGTATACCGCAATGTCCGTATACCGCAATGTCCGCATGTGTATACCTCTATTTACTCTAGAATCTATTCCAAAAAAAATTTCTATATTAAACTATTTTCAGGCCTTTGGGATAAAAAAATCAATTTGAAAGAATAGGCATATTCGCGTAAGTTAAAATTTTTGATACGTCTTTCATTCACCATGTTTTATAAGGTGCCTAAATAGCTGAGATGATAGTGTACTTAATACCACGCAGGTGGTGCGGGATTGAGACACACCAAGTCAAACTTAATTTTTATTTTTTTAGCGCAATTTCCATTCTGGAGAATTGCGTTTATAAACCCGTCATTTCTGGATGAATGGATGGATGTGTGTCCGCAGCTTTAAGTCGTATCTCCTCCTCAACGAAGCAATATCGATGACTAGTTCCAAAAGCAATTATGTTAAGCAAGTTACGAGGATGAGCATAGGCCATAAAAATTCCGGGTTTCTTTCATGGATTTCCCGGAAAAGCCAAAAAACCTCGAAAAATGCAGTTTTTGGCCCATATCTCGGCAACCAGACCACTTAGCGACTTGAAACATGTACCAATCGATTTCTGCCATAATTTAGAACAATATTGCCGAAGAAAGTTTTCAAAAATATCCTTTCGTTCGGTCCCAAAAATTTTTTGAATTAATTAAAATTTGGACCGAATTAGTAGGCATGTTTATCCAACCACACCACACGCGTCATCACGTTCAATAGCTGCGCCATCACGTTCAATGGCTGCGCCATCACGTTCGGTAGCTAGGCGCAATGGCTTTTAGTCATGTAACTCTATTGTAAATAAAACATGTAAAATACTGAAAAAAAATTAATAAAAAACGTTTTAATAACTAACCAATGGTTTTACTAACCCTGCTCTTGATTTACGCTACGACAGAGCTATTTTTAGATAACATAAGGAAATTGCGCTTAAACGTCACTAGACTTTTTAATTAACTTGTTTTAATATGTGAATTTTCCGATTTTAGACTATAAAGAAAGGAACGACTTCATTCAAATTTGATTTACATCTAGATCTATTGATCTACTCATCAAGACGTACGCTATGAAATATATACAATTTTATCGGTCAAACTAATACAAATTACTTAAAAACAACATAATGACCATAGAATAACCAGATTTTTAACGGAATCATTTAAGTCACTTAATTAGTGTGTGCCTGTGTTATGTTAAATGTGTCAGATTTTTAGCTAATTAGTTATTTCTTTGCTTTGTCAATAATATCGTTCAGCGTGTAGTAAAGCAAATTGCGTTTTGACCAATAACTATTTCATACATTATTTTTCACAAACAAGCACAAAATTTTAAAATATAAAGGCCTATAATTCAGGTGAAACGAGTACCGAAGGCTAGATATATCGGATAATAAAATTTGTTTTAATTAAAAGAAAATATAAAAATTAATTAGAAAGTTTTTAATTTCTGTACCTAGCTAAAACTTAAAATGTAATTTTATTAATTGTACCAGTTTCCCATCAAATTCAAAGAAATGTAATTATGTTATATAATTAATAAATAATAGGTTTTGGTTTTTATTCTTAAGCGTATTTATATTTTAAAAAATTAAATTTAAGGAATAATTTATAATTTATTTCCCCTGAATTAAATTTTTCATCTTAAATGGGAGATAATCATTTTTTACAAGTCCAGCACATTGAAAAGCTTAGGGGTCGCCCATAGGGGGTAGGGGGGGTAATTATGTGACGGTGTGTGATTAGGGGGAGGGGCAGCTCTGATGGTGTGACGTCACACTTGCATGATACAAAAGGAATGTTATAAAATTAATTTTAGCCATCATATCACGTTTTAGAAAACTGTTTTAATAAATTGTAATAGAAATTGATTAAAATACTCTGCGTAAGTAAAGGATAGTTGACAATAGACAAAAAGAAAAGCGTGACTTCATTTAAGGATTTTTTCTTTTATTTTTTATTTATATTTAGACGTTTTGTATTAGATCTAAGTATAAGTAAACCATCTTAAATGAATGAAAGCAGGCTACAAGTAAGAAAGAAATATTACTATTGTAAATCTGTATCAGTCCTCACAAGCCGATGATGAAAACTATAATACTAAAGCGAACACACAACTGACACTATAAATTACGTGTCTGAGGCGGAAAAATTAAAAAATAAAAAAATAAATTAAAAAAAAAATAAAATTTAAGTATGACCCCTTATCCTAATATTCGCCAAACTAATACTACATTTAAAGTATATTTGGCAGTTGAAATAGTGTAGGTTTTGATCGCAACATTAGTTAAATGTATTGGTTGATCAGTTTTTTTGTGTATAACCTTTGAATCAGGTTAACTATGGCTATATTGCATGTCGTAATTAAAAGTTAATTGTTGTTTAACAATAATAATGGTGGCAAAAATAGCTAATATCTTGAATCTTAACTGGAAGTAGACGTGGCTGGCGTAGGACTTAAATGCTAGCAACTCCCCAACCCGATTGCTGATTTAGTTAATGGACACCACCGAGTTGACGAGAATCCTTCCTTCATATTGTTGGGGGGATGTGTGTTTAATACAGGTTGGTAGGTTGGGGTAGGTGTGTTAAATACCAGGTTGGTAGGTTGGGTGAGGTGTGTTTAATACAGGTTGGTAGGTTGGGTGAGGTGTGTTAAATACAGGTTGGTAGGTTGGGGGAGGTGTGTTAAATACAGGTTGGTAGGTTGGGGGAGGTGTGTTAAATACAGGTTGGTAGGTTGGGTGATGTGTGTTAAATACAGGTTGGTAGGTTGGGGGAGGTGTATTAAATACCAGGTTGGTAGGTTGGGTGAGGTGTGTGAGTTGGTTAGGCTGATACTGATACTGACAAACTTGAATATAACTGACTTCACAACGATGTAGGATTCGGTTAGTTTTGTGTAGATATTTGCAGTCATTCAAGTTAAATATGAGTTGACTGCAGTTAGCAGACATGACTTAACCTGAAGTATATAATCACTGTAGACTTAAGCCGGCTTAAAAGGCCATTGTAAAAAGTACCCACTCTCAACTTCGTGATCGGGAACTCTAAAAGACAACAGCCACGCCCACCACTAATAAACGTATCTCCCACCTGCATAAAATCAATACATTGCTACGAAAATAGATTGGGAGTGATCTCCCCTAAACTTTCTCGAATATTCTTATATAACACTACGGGGGATGGCAACTCGGGATATAGACATTATTTTTAATACATTCTCAATTACTTAAACTGTTAAAAATAGTATAGAATCTCTTAGAAAAAAAAAATTGCACACCAAGTGAACGCCAAATAAATTTTGCATAATAGTGCGGAATATTATTAGTACTTTATAAATTCAAATTTTTTTTTTGAGAAATCGGAAATAGCAAAAATTATTACTTCCGTTCAACGTATATACTAGAAATTAAAAAAGCATAAATGGACAGAGAGACACGAGTTATTACTTTCTCGTATATATGAAGTATAGAGAAAGTCTTGTAATCGTGCAAACAAAAAATCGAGATTTTTGCAAATCTCCACGTTTTACACCTCACTGATACGGAAAAACATAATTTTGCAATCTTGTCCGTATGTCTGTGTGTATGTCTGTGTGTGTCTGTGTGTAAACACGATAACTTGAGTACCGTTACAGCTAGGTTAATGAAATTTCATATATAAGTATTTTATCAAAATCGTAGATCCGTATCAACTTTTGAGCGATTTCTGATAACCGGAATTGGTACTAATTCTACTTTGAATTTTTCAAAAGCCTATAACTTGAGTACTATTTCAGATAGATAAATGAAATTTCACAAGTAAGTAAAGATCTAATTCTCTACCGTCTGTCAAATTTTGAGTAATTTCCGTTGACCGGAAGTACTCATTTACGCTATTTCCGACTTCTCAAATTTATAAAGTACTAATAATATTCCTCACTATTATGCACATTTTATTTGGCGTTCACTGGTGTGCAATTGTTTTTCTACGAGATTTTATTCTATTTGTAAAAGTTTAAGTATTTAAAATGGATTGAAATTCATGTCTATATCCCGAGTTCCCATCACCTGGTTTTTAATATAAGAATATTCGAGAAAGTTTAGGGGAGATCACTCCTGGTTTATTTTTCCTATGATGTTCTATTGCACAATGAGTGCGCTTTAAAAGCCACAGACGTGATAATCTTAGCCAGGCGCGTACCAGGTCAGACGTTTAACCACTACGACCACTTGGCTCCATAAACATAGAACATTCCTGATCGTCCACGTTCATAGTTAACAAACAACATCAGACGTTTTGTCTACACCAAATATTGACGATGATAACAACAACTAATTGCTGCTTTGAATTAATATATAGAGCCGACCATTCTTTGCGAGAAATTATTTGGAAGCTTTTGTGTATGACTTGAATGATAGCAGTGGCGTAGGCAAGGGGGGGGGGGGGGTTAGGGGGAGTTATAACCCCACCCATGGACTCACACCCCTATCTATATATATATATATATATATATATATATATATATATATATATATATATATATATATATATATATATATATATATGATTTTATACAAATGGAAACATAGTTGAACCAATTCCTGGCTACGCCACTGAATGATAGTATGTCCATATACATATATAAATGGATAGCTAATATATTGTATGTAGAAACGATGAGCTAGTTTGATGGTAAAATTTAGCTTAAAAATATTTGAACATTTTAACCACCATATTTTATATTTGTTATTGTTAAAGGTTTAGAGTCTGTTTTCAGCCATAAGATCATATCAAAGACGAAATCTTTTAAAGTATTTTATTTTTTTACTTTAACATATGCTATGATTTCTTCACGTCATATATAGTACTGGCAACTTCTTAAGCACGCATTTCGTATGGTCTACGTGATATCCTGTTTGGCCAATAGTAGCAGACGGTGAGTTGTTTTTTTTTTTTTTTTTTTTACCTATGCAGACAAATATGTACATAGATATTGACATGTGTGTCTGAAGTCACTAAATCTGTTGGTTTAATACTAAGTAGTGTTCACATATGAGGTGTAAAAAACCCTTGTACCTGTTTCAGCTATTTTTATTTCGATGACCCGGATGCCGGTCCAGCGGTCATGCGCAAACAGAGGATAAAATACAAAGCTGGTCGGCAACAGCCAATCAAATCGTCGGTAAGTTTCAAATATCCAAGGGAAGCTATCCTCATAACTCCTCTTTTTTATTGCACTTTTTGAAACATGACTTAAGGCTTAAGGTAAAAGTAACTGGCTCACGAAGGCTAGAAAGGGAGAAACAACCAATAAGTCATCAGACTGGAATCATTTTAGTTGTCATTCTATAGTAGTTTCTATGAGGTTACATTCTAATATTGGAGGGCAGGGGGGGGGGGATAATAGAAATACGAATACAATAGTAATATGCAGAGGCGTAGCGAGGGGGAGGGCGGGGGGACATATGTCCCCGGGCGCCGACCTTAGGGGGGGGGGGCGCCAAAATGGGTTGGAAAAACAAATTGAAAGTTTTAGGGGGGGGGGTGTGCAAATCAAAAGTTCGAGGTGGGGTGCAAATCGAAAGTTTGTCCCCGGGCGCCGGGAAGGGTCGCTACGCCTCTGGTAATATGTAGCTAGCCAGGTAACTTGTAGCAAAAGTAAGTTTAAAAAAAAAATTAATTGTAGATGAGCAGCGAACTACAGCACGTGCTAATGACCAACCCAGACTACAGGACGGAGGACCAGATCAAAAAGGTGAGTACTTCAGGTGGTGGAAGTGGTCGAGGGAAAGCACACGCGCACAAAACTTATGTAGATTCTTATCTGAACCATGATCATAATAAAAAATATTTCAAGGACGAGGATAGTCTATGAGTCTATTCAGCTCTATTTAGTACCTGTTGTGTGTTGGAGAAAGTAAAGGCGCTTTAGTTTACTAACAACACAGGTCACAGATGTAATCGATAGATTCTGATATTCTGAGGATGTGTGTGGGGATGGGTGTATGGTGCGGGGGTGACTGGAAAGATGCGCAACGGTAAACTGCGCATTAGTTTATATTTACGCATTGTTCTGTTTGCGCAGTTTTCCAAGTTCACATTTTTCTGTGAACCCAGTTGAGGTGTCGCCACACATACCAAAAAATAAGTGGGGGGGGGGGGGCACTAAGATGAGTACAGTTTAGATTTTGTGTGATTGCCGCCATCATTGTCTATTTGCGTGTCTTGAATGTGTGTAGATACTGTGGTTGCTAAGGACAACGAAAGCTTTCCTCCATCTGTTTCTTGCTGAGATGAGCTGTCAGCTGGCTCGTGTGTTGGCCTATGAGAGGTTGGTGCCATTTTATTTTCAATTCTTTCTGTTCGTTGTAAGTAAGATTAGCGCGTAGAAAACAAAACATCTCTATATTTACACACGTTCTTGGATGGGAGCCTACTAGCATGGTCAGGAGAGCGTATGATTGCTAACTCCACACGACCCGAGTTTAGCCAAATAACAGATGATTTGTAGTTTGTACTTGTGTGGACAGAGGCTATGTAAACAACTCCATAGAGAAAGCAGGATGAAGTCGGTATCAATAGGACATAGGCACAAAGCATGCAGAGCCCCCCTCCCCCCCCCCCCAAGAAAGTCTACCCCCCCCCCCCGAAACGAAAGGGAATTTATATAGAAAATATATACTTTTAACAGTGTCCGCCCCTCCCCCCCCTAAAATTTGTCCGCCCCCCTCCCCCCCCCCCCCCAGAGAAACAAGTCTGGAAGAAACACTGAAAACATGTTGACATGTAATACTTAATTGTATTGGAGGTATTACAATTAAGAACGAAGAAGAAGAATTGACGTATTTAAAAACTCAATTATTTTAACACACAAAAATGCATTTGTGGTTATTTCACGTTGTAGTAAAATCGCTACAAAATGAATCAAATGGTTAAAAGTCGTATTATTTAGCCTTTCTTGTTTACTGTTTTAGCCTTATATTTAGCCTATTTTTCGGTCCTGATATTTGTCTTACAGTTCGCCCTTATCTAGCCTCGTTCCAATTATTTGACCTTATTATGAACATATAATACTACATCCTGTTTGGAACCACGTGATGTCTTATGTAACAAAAAAAAAACGCTCTTAAGAGTGGTATTTACATAACCATAAACCACCAAAATCACACCCATAAAATGTAACCTCTGACCCCACAACACAATAAATGCCACTTGTAGTTTTAATGAGGAGCCGAACACGGATTGTGAAGTGTTTTTGTGTGCTGTTAAAAAGAAGAACAATGGCCTTGTGGAAAACGTCACCAGTTCTTGCGTACCGCTCTCAAGACGTCATGGCAAGGCGGGTGAAGTAGAGGATCTTTAGAGACAATTTCATTGACAAAGTTGGAGTCAGTGAGTCTAACATTGTCACATATACTGACAAGGTTAGAGTCAGTGAGGCTAACATTGTCACATATACTGACAAGGTTGGAGTCAGTGAGGCTAACATTGTCACATATACTGACAAGGTTAGAGTCAGTGAGGCTAACATTGTCACATATACTGACAAGGTTAGAGTCAGTGAGGCTAACATTGTCACATATACTGACAAGGTTGGAGTCAGTGAGGCTAACATTGTCACATATACTGACAAGGTTGGAGTCAGTGAGGCTAACATTGTCACATATACTGACAAGGTTAGAGTCAGTGAGGCTAACATTGTCACATATACTGACAAGGTTGGAGTCAGTGAGGCTAACATTGTCACATATACTGACAAGGTTGGAGTCATTTAGGCTAACATTGTCACATACACTGACAAGGTTGGAGTCAGTGAGGCTAACATTGTCACATATACTGAAAAGGTTGGAGTCATTTAGGCTAACATTGTCACATACACTGACAAGGTTGGAGTCAGTGAGGCTAACATTGTCACATATACTGAAAAGGTTGGAGTCATTTAGGCTAACATTGTCACATACACTGACAAGGTTGGAGTCAGTGAGGCTAACATTGTCACATATACTGACAAATTTCCGGTGAGAGGGGGAGAGGGAAAAATATTTGTTTCAATGTGAATCGATTTAAAAAAAATAATAATTAAGATATCTATTTCTGCTGCTTTGAATTTATGCTTTATTATTTATGTAAGTGAATGTGTTACATACTTCTGTATTTCAACTCAGTTTTGTCTGATATTCTGTATGTTTTTGTTTTCTTTTTAAATTACAGATACGATGACAACAGGCATATAGCGTACCAAGGGAAGCAATCAGAGAGATTTTATTACGTTCTGTCTGGAAAAGGTTGTCTCCCTTGTTTTTTTATTAAAAAAAAAACCCTGCTTCACACGATGTACACACCCACACACTATGTACATAAAACACTATATCATGTGTACGTATTACGTACACACCTTTACACCATTTTACAACTAATTAAAAGTTATTTTTTAAAAACTTTTAAAACAAAGGCCTACATATCTACATACCAAGTACACATATACATACACATACTTACACACCTACCAAAAACTTTGCCTAAATAAAATTTGTTAGTGATTATCAACTTGAGCAGAAAACACAAATTAGTATAATACTCGTTGAGATTAATGAAAGTAACGCTCTCGTTTATGTTTTTATTTTGGCAGTCCAAAAGTTTCGGGAATACAAACTTTCTTCTGGGTGTGTCAATAAACTCCTGGGTTGTATGGTGAAAGGGAACACAACAGATGTAAGTTGTGGGTGGGGGATGTGTAAGGTGTGTGTACCGGGTGTGTAGTTGTGTACATGAGGTGTGTACATGTGATTTGTACATGGTATGCAGATATGTGCATGATGTGTAAAATGTCTCCAAGGCGAGTATGTGTAAGTTGTGTGTAGATGTGTACCGGGTGTGTAGTTGTGTATATGGGATGTGGATATGTAAATGTGATAGTGGTTTGTACATGGTGTGCAGAGATGTACACGATGTGTAAACTGTCTACGTGGTGGGTAACGTATACATTCTGTGCAGTGGTATTTGTGATGTGTAATTATGTACATGAGAGTGATAGTGTGTTGAGGTGTACACGGTGTGTTGGTGTGTTGGTGTGTAAAGGCGTGTCAATATGAACGGGTGCATAGCTGGTAAATAATGTCTACATGTGTACTTCGTGTGTACAAGCGAACTTGTACATATGTGTACATGATCTACTGATGTACACAGCGTATGTACTTTATACTTATAAAACTATATTCCCTCCCCACACGTGACCCAGCCTGAAGAAATGGAAGACCACAGTAGCCGAGAACACCATCTGGTATCACATGGTCAAGCGGAAGTGCTCTTTCTAACCAAACACGTAAACAACGTACTCATCTGTTAATGTTTAACTTATAAGGAGATGTATATGACATTTAGATGTCATTCATGTCATACAAGTTTTATCGTTTATATCAGTAAGATGGTATGCATGTCCAGAAGCTGTTATTGAGAGGTCATTGAACCCGAAAACAAAGATGTTTGTTTCTTTCAGGATTTTCTACGTCTGCAGCACACGACACCTGGTACTGAGATACCTGTGGACTTTCTCAAGTAAGTCAGGGGTAGTGGTTAGGGTAGTGGTTAGGGTAGTGGTTAGGGTAGTGGTTAGGGTAGTGGTTAGGGTAGTAGTTAAGGTAATGGTTATGGTAGTGGTTAGGGTAGTGGTTAGGGTAGTGGTTAGGGTAGTGGTTAGGGTAGTGGTTAGGGTAGTGGTTAGGGTAGTGGTTAGGGTAGTGGTTAGGGTAGTGGTTAGGGTAGTGGTTAGGGTAGTGGTTAGGGTAGTGGTTAGGGTAGTAGTTAAGGTAATGGTTAGGGTAGTGGTTAGGGTAGTGGTTAGGGTAGTGGTTAGGGTAGTGGTTAGGGTAGTGGTTAGGGTAGCGGTTAGGGTAGTGGTTAGGGTAGTGGTTAGGGTAGTGGTTAGGGTAGTGGTTAGGGTAGTGGTTAGGGTAGTGGTTAGGGTAGTGGTTAGGGTAGTGGTTAGGGTAGCGGTTAGGGTAGTGGTTAGGGTAGTGGTTAGGGTAGTGGTTAGGGTAGCGGTTAGGGTAGTGGTTAGGGTAGTTGTTAGTTATGTAGTGGTTAGGGTAGTGGTTAGGGTAGTGGTTAGGGTAGTGGTTAGGGTAGTGGTTAGGGTAGTGGTTAGGGTAGTGGTTAGGTAGTGGTTAGGTAGTGGTTAAGGGTAGTGGTTTAGGGTAGTGGTTAGGGTAGTGGTTAGGGTAGTGGTTAGGGTAGTGGTTAGGGTAGTGGTTAGGGTAGTGGTTAGGGTAGGGTTAGGGTAGGGTTAGGGTAGTGGTTAGGGTAGTGGTTAGGGTAGTGGTTAGGGTAGTGGTTAGGGTAGTGGTTAGGGTAGTGGTTAGGGTAGTGGTTAGGGTAGTGGTTAGGGTAGTGGTTAGGGTAGTGGTTAGGGTAGTGGGTTAGGGTAGTGGTTAGGGTAGTGGTTAGGGTAGTGGTTAGGGTAGTGGTTAGGGTTGTGGTTAGTTAGGATAGTGGTTAGGGTAGTGGTTAGGGTAGTGGTTAGGGGTAGTGGTAGTTAGGGTAGTGGTTAGTTA